CGACTGTGGCAAAGGCAGCAAGGTCAAGGAACAGGTACGGCAGCATGAGGCGGCTGAGGGCAGCAGTGGCAGGGGAGGAGTAGCGCGCTACTACAGCGTCATACAAAGACTAAGCAGTCTTGTACTGGCCAAAGTGCGCGCGCTCAGAAGACGGCAGGTGACTACGAACAGCAAGGCGAGCAACAGCGTCACGAGTGGTCCACTGCGAGCGAATCGTACTGTCAGCAGTGGCAGCAGGTGCAGGAGAGACACCGGACGTGTGATCGAAAAGGGACACTCTGTCCTTAGAGTCACACTGAAGAAAGAGCTGTAGGTCGTCAACCCACACGTCAAAGTCAACTGCACACCCCTCAGCATCAAAGGTAAGAACAGTAGGGCTAGCCATAGCGGCAGTAGCAGCAGTAGCAGCAGTAGCAGCAGTGGCAGCAAAAACAGCAGTAGCGGCAGGAGCAGCACGGGCAGGGCAGTGCGGCTCAGTAGGGCGGCGCGGCTCGGCAGGGCGGCGCGGCTTAGTAGGGCGGCGCGGCTCGGCAGGGCGGCGCGGCTCGGTAGGGCGGCGCGGCTCGGCTCCTGGCGGCGCGGCGCGGCAGGGCAGCTCGGCTCGGAGCAGCGGCGCGGCTCGGCTGGGCGGCGCGGGTGCTTACCAGGGGCGGGTGAAGGGCCGCGACTGGGGCCGCAGCAGGGCAGGGCCGCCACTTGGCGGCGTCAGTGCAGGGCCGCGAGAGGGCGGCAGCAGGGCAGGGCCGCGACAGGGGCGGCAGCAGGGCAGGGCCGCCACTTGGCGGCGTCAGCGCAGGGCCGCGACAGGGCGGCAGCAAGGCAGGGCCGCGACAGGGGCGGCAGCAGGGCAGGGCCGCCACTTGGTGGCGTCTGGGCAGAGGTCGCGACGGCAGGGGCCGCGACGGCAGGGGTCGCGACGGCAGGGGCCACAACTGCAAGGGCCGCGACAGCAGGGGCCGCGACGGCAGGGGCCGCGACGGCAGGGGCCGCGACTGCAGGGGGCCGCGACTGCAGGGGCTGCGACGGCAAGTGCCGCGACGGTAGGGGCCGCGACGGTAGGGGCCGCGACGGGCCGTTAGGGCAGGGCCGCGACGGGCGGCTCTAGGGCAGGGCGCGCGATGGCGCAGGTGAGGCAGGCGCAAAGCGCGCTTTGGGAAGGGCATGAAAAAAAATCGTGGTGGCCCTTAAAAAAACGTTCCCACGAGGGAACCTGCTCAGAATACCATGTCATAATAGTGAAGGAAGGAATGACTGAATTAGCAAGCAGGTGGGTACAAGTAAGAAACCTAAAAGTGTTGTACCCTATATGAACTACCCCACTACAGCCTTGACAGACTATAGCATATATGTTTGACACCGGCGAATTTTCAAATGACCATGAATGAGACGTTTAGACCACTCTTAGATAAATGTGTGATAATTTACCTCGACGACATTCTCGTTTACAGTCGTGACAAGCAGCAACACTTAGCCGATTTAGAAGCAGTATTTAGAGTTTTAGACAAACACAGACTACTGACCAAGGGTTCAAAGTGCGAGTTCTTCCAGGATAGGCTAGAATTTTTTGGGCACGTTATTTCGGAGGCTGGAGTTGAAATCGACCCAAAGAAACTGGACACGGTACAAGCGTGGCACTCCCCGACGAACATCACAGAGCTGTCAGAATCCCAACCACTAGACCATTGGGATAAAAGGGCTTGTTTAGTAGCGGGTCAGTGCGCCCATAACCCCCCATGACAACGAGCCTATAACCCTTCCTTAGGATCAATCAGGGATCACCAGTGGACCTCTGACACACCCTCGCACTGGGATGCCCGAAGTGCACACACTGGGATTCGAACCCGAGACCGCTCTGATACCATGTCAGAATCCCAACCACTAGACCATTGGGGTAAAATGGCTTGTTTAGTAGCGGGTCAGTGCGCCCATAACCCCCCAGGAAAACAAGCCTGTAACCCTTCCCTAGGATCAATCGTGGATCAGCAGTGGACCTCTGACACCCCCCCGCACTGGGATGCCCGAAGTGCAGACACTGGGATTCGTACCCGAGACCTTCGCTCTGATACCACGTCAGAATCCCAACCACTAGACCATTGGGATAAAATGGCTTGTTAAGTAGCGGGTCAGTGCGCCCATAACCCCCCAGGACAACGAGCCTGTAACCCTTCCCTAGGATCAATCGGGGATCACCAATGGACCTCTGACAATTCGAACCCGAGACCGCTCTGATACCATGTCATAATCCCAACCACTAGACCATTGGGATAAAAGGGCTTGTTTAGTAGCGGGTCAGTGCGCCCATAACCCCCTAGGACAACGAGCCTGTAACCCTTCCCTAGGATCAATCGAGGATCACCAGTAGACCTCTGACAGGAGCTGCAGAGTTTTTTAGGGTTCGTTAATTACGTGCGCCGGTTCGTCCCCGACATGGCACGCTTGATTGTCCCGCTGACGGACTTACTGCGGAAGGGGGTCGCTTTTACGTGGGGGGAGAAAGAGCATGCTGCCTTCTCTACCCTGAAAAACGCTCTCTGTTCACCGCCCGTACTGCGCATCGCCGACCCACACCGCCCATTCGAAGTGGTTACCGACGCAAGCGACATCGCCATTGGAGCTGTACTCCTACAGGATTTTGGCAATGGGTTACAGCCCATCGCATACGAGTCACGAAAACTGCATCCGCCCGAGAAGAATTACCCGATACACGATCGCGAAATGCTTGCGATCGTGCATGCATTCAAAGTGTGGCGATGTTACTTGACCGGCGCCGACGTGACAGTACGGACAGACCATAAATCACTACAGTACCTCCGCGCACAGCCCCACCTCAACCCACAACATATTCGCTAGCTCGACTACCTCGAGTCAAATTTTCACTACACGGTCGCCTACAAAAAGGGGTAATCGAACATCGCCGACGCATTAACCCGGCCCACAGCCCAACTCCACGCCATACTACTCGCCCAGACTAGCCCACTACTGACGGGCCTATTTACCCACGGTTATCAGACTGACCAATTTTTCACAGGCGGAAATTCGCAGCAGTTTGTAGCGGCAAGAAGAGTCTATTATGTAAAAGCCGGCACCGATCGAATCTGGGTACCGGGCTACACGCTCCTACGGGAATTGCTGTTACAAGAGGCACACGACGGAGTCACCTCAAGCCATTTCGGAGTAGAAAAAACACGGCAGCAGCTGCAGCGGTATTATTACTGGCCCGAAATGCTGAGCGACGTGCAGCGACACGTGGCATCGTGTCCCACCTGCGAACTCATGAAATCATCATGGAAACGGCCGGCAGGGCAGTTGCAGCCGATACCACCCCCAGAGCGTGCTTGACGGTGATGATGGACTTCGTCACGGGGTTACCGGTCGGAGCAAGTGGGAACGACGCGATCTTGGTCGTCGTCGATTGGCTGACGAAAATGGCACATTTCACAGCCTGCAAAAAATCAACCACAGCCGAAAAATCGACCCGCCTCTTCATCTCAAACATCGTTCGACTACACGCGATACCAACAGCAATCATCAGCGACCGTGATACGAAATTTACCAGCAATTTCTGGCGGAACCTGTGGCAGCAGTCCGGCACGAGACTGCAGTTCAGTTCTTCGTACCACCCCGAGACCGACGGACAGACAGAACGGAAAAATCAGACCATGGAACAGTTAATCCGAGCCACGTGCGACGACCCGACCACCCGGGAACAGCAACTGCCACTCATCGAATTCGCGTACAACAACTCGCCATCCGCCACGACCCAACAGTCACCGTTTTACTTGAACTACGGACAAGACCCTACAGTACCCATGACCCCGAATCCCGACAACCCAATACCACGTGCGCAACAATTCGCAGAATTATTACAAACAGCACGAACCAGGGCAGCCGAGGCAATAAAAAAGGCCAACGTCATCGCTAAGCGCAACGCTAACCGCCACCACAGACCCGTCACTTACCAGCCCGTCGACTTAGTTTTACTCGACACTCAAAACCTCCACCTGCCCATAACCCCGAAACTCCGCCCCCGATATTGCGGGCCATTTCGCATCAGCCACATGATCACACATGTCACCGCCCACCTCCTCCTCCCTGCTGACTGGTACGTCAGCCCGTCCTTCCACGTCAGCCTGCTTCGCCCCTGCATCCCATCCACCAACCAACTGGCCCGAAATCGCCCGGCCAGCATGACACGACCACCGACAGAACCAGTCATCACGCCCGAGAAGATTATGAGCCACCGAGTTCGTGACCCACGAGGAGCTCGAAGGGTCGAATTCCTGATCCGCTGGAGAGACCGCACGCCCACCGAGGACAATTGGGTTCCTCTGGACAGAATCGAAAACCACCCTGTCCTCACCGAGTATCTGCGCAGCCGGAATTTCCGGGATGTACACGCGCTTTCATAAGAGAGGCCTCCTTAGAGGAGGGGGTAGTGTAAGGAAAATCCCTTTTCCTTACTTCGCGTCCCTGCTCAGCGCGTACACCACTGTTCCCGCCAACAGCACCCCACAATAATCCGTTACCACTCGCGACATTCGCCTCGACCCCATTCCCGCCACTGTTCACGATGTGACCCAACCTCACGGTTCGGTTGGTAACCCGCGCTCCGGACCTCCGCCTCGACATTCCCCAGCCTCGGCACCAGGCCCGTCGCGCACCCCATTTTCCCACACGTTACCGTTACCACTGTACAGTAGCTTCGCTAAATATTCTTCGCTCAATCCTTCGCTCATTGTATTCTTGTCTCGATAGTGCAATCCTCGCTCGCTGACTCAATTGCACTCGTAACAACAAGACACGAAATCATGTTCCAGGAAATCATGACAAAACACGAAATCATGTTTCACACACACAAGACCTTCCGTTGATCAACAAAACTAGCAGACACGTAATCCAATGGGAAACCCGCCACTGTCCAGAGACATGACCGACACATTCCCGCTCGCACGGCCACTCGTGTGATGCTGTAACGGATCGCCCTGTAGAGGAAGGGAGCCATGGCATCGTCGTTCATGTCGCAGGTGCGCGCTCTCCGCTCCTATCGCATGACTCCGCTCGCTCGTCCTCCTCCCGCCCGTCGCCCACCCGCCATCTCCGCCGAATCCGCTCCTGCCGTCCCCTTCTCCCGCCCACCCTGCTCCCCCGCCTCGCCGCGCTCTCTCTTCCGTCTCCTACCCTCGTTCACCACCACCACCTTGTTCCCTGCCTTCTGCGTCCGTCCCCTCGGCCTCCCGCCCCTCTGTCTGCCGCCCCACTGCCGCCCGCAGGTGCTGCTGCGCGTGCTGCGCGCGTACATCCGCGACGCCGATGGCGCGGCGGCGTCCGACCTCAGCGTGTCGCTTTCGGGCGGCTCCCTCACTCTCAGAAACTTCGAGCTCAACCTGCCAGGTGCGTCGCACGGAGTGGCGACATGTTCAGTAGTGGGTTATTCAGTAGGCCCAAGGCAAAGAGGAGGCGCGAGGAGCAGGTGTCGTCTTCGCATGGCCACGCTTGAAGCCCTCACATCGGCCCCCTTTGCATGGCTCTGCCAGCGTTCCGCACCACAACTCCCCATCGCTCCTCCTCACTCCTCTTACATCTTGCTCTTCCTCAGTCCCTGCTTCGCACACATCTGTGCGGCGAAAGCGGGTGCATGACCTGCACTGATTCCCCCCACACCGCCCTCATGCTCACAGAACCTTCCCCTACCCCCTCAAAGCCCCCCACCCCCCCGCGCCCACCCCCTACCAGTCCCCCCTCACGTGCGCGTGGCGGTACGGCGCGCGTGGGTGGGCGAGCTGCGGGTGAGCATCCCCTGGGCCGCGCTGGGCTCGCAGCCCGTGGCCGTGGCTCTGCACGGCGTGCGCCTGCACGTTGAGGCAACGGGGGGAGGGGGGGTTGGAGGGCAGGGGACGGAGGGGAAGGAGAGGGTGTGGAGTGGAGGGAATTGCGGTGGCAAGGGGGGCGAGGAGGGTGCAAGGGAAAGTGGGGGGGGCGGTGGGTGGCAGCAGGGGATGGGGCCAAAAGAGGGTGAGCGGGGCGGTGGTGGGGGCGAGAGGGGGGGCGATGGAGCAGGGAAGGAGGAGGAGGGCGGTGGGTGCAGCGACTCAGACTCAGAGTCGTGGCAGGGAAGCAGCAGCAGCGAGGCGGGGCATGCGAGGGAGGAGTTGGCGGAGCTGCTGGCGCTGGGGGGGCTGCGGGCGTTCCTGCAGCACACGCTGCTGAACGCCAGTGTGACTGTAACGGACGTGCACCTGCAGTACTCCACGCCCTCCGCTGTGCTGTCTTGGCGCTGCGATAAGCTCCTCCTTCACTCCACTGCATCTGACTGGACCCCTGCCTTTGTGGTACGCGCTGCTCCCACCCTCCTGCTGTGCTGCTTCTCCTATCCATTTATGCCCATCTTTCACTCGCACAGGTGTGACAGTATGGCAGCATGCGTGACATGCCACCCATAGCCCATAGCACTGCGCAACACGCATTGCATAATGCATCCCCATGCCTCCTCGCGCCCCTCATCTGCTCAGCATAGTGCTGCACCCCTCCCCCTCCAAGCGCCCCTGTGCCCTCGTGGCCTTGTCTGCAAGGCACACGCATTCATCTCTCCTCACATCCTTCCCAGCCACCAGAGGAAGGCGTGAGGAAGGTTCTGGAAGTTACTGGCCTGTCGGTGGATGTCGCAAGTACATCCAGCCAATCACACAACGCCACGTGTCAGGCCAGCCAAGGTCCGTGGAGCAAGGCTATGGCAAATTGCCCTCTTAATAGCATGCAAGCCGTTTTCCTGTGAGGCAGGCTCTAGTCCCCGTTCTGCTCCCCCCATCTGTCACTCATTGCTCGCCTTGTATGCCACTGTACCTGTGGCAAGTCCCTGAACCAGTGCATGCCATTTGGGATCAATCTTTCTCACCATTCACCCACTCGTCGCGATTATCACGTCCCTCGCCCCAAACCCACTCCCTCTGTTATTTGCCACCCAACCCAACCCCCCCTTCACGCCCACAACACTCCCCCCTCTCCACACGCTTCCCGCCAGTGCCGCTCCTCTCCGCTGTCTCCCTCACTTCCCGCATCGCCATCACCCCGCCCTGTGCTGCTCTTGCCCAGCCCCAGTGCGCCTGCCTCTCCCTCCGCCTGCTGCCCCTCGCCCTCTCCGCCTCGCCCTCCCACCTCGCTGCTCTGCTCAGCGCCGCACACTCATGCCGGCAGGCATGGGGGGGAGGCGCGGGGGCACAGGAAGAAGGGGCGGAGGGAGCGGGGGAAGCAGTTGGAGGGGGCGTGGAAGTGAAGGAGAAAGGAACGGAAGAGGGAGGCGGGCATGATGAGGGCAGAGGTGACAGCGGGGATGCGATGGGTGGGACAAGAGAAGCAGCTGAGAATCTTCTGGTATCAGCAAGTGAGGAGGGAGAAAAGGCAGCAAAGGAGAGGGCGGGTGGAATGATGGATGGGCGGCAGCAAGAAGGGCAGCAGGGGGGCCAGCAGGGGGGGCAGCAGAAGCAGGGATTGTTTCACAGCATGGGGCGCGCGATTGGGTGGGTGCAGCGGCTGTTTGTGGACGAGGAGGACGACGAGGCGAGCAGCGGCGGCGCTGCCGTTGCAGCCACGGGGCAAAGTGCGTTGTCAGTGAGAGCTGCTGCTGCAGCAGCAGCAGCGGGTGGCCGCTTGGAGAGTGAGGAGATCTGGGAGTGGGCCACGGGGTACGAGGCAGGTGTGCACTTTGACGTGGCAGCCACTGATTGGTCCGTCGCTGCGCTGCTAGAGGGCGCTGATCTGTCCCTTGTGAGCAGCGTGGGCGGCGGCATGGATGGCAGTGGTGGCGCATCCGTGTGCTGTGAGGGCGATGCCGTCGGCCTCAGTGCAGAGGAATGCCACGGAGCACCTGCGCCTCCAAACCTGGACGCGGACCTTGCCAGCCCAACCTGCCATCCGAAGCTGGAGTGCAGGCTCGGGGCCGTGCTGGTGGAGGCGGAGGGGCGGGGCAGGGCGGTGCAGGCAGCGAGTGTGAAGGTGGGGCCCGTGGCAGTGGCTGTGGCAGTGCCTGGGAGCAGCACTTCAGGTGCCTCTTTAGGTGCCTCTTCAGGGGCCAATACGCATGTTCCTTCTGGTGGCTCGGATCCTGCAGCAGTAATACCGTCATCTCTCCGTCCTCTTCTCCGCCTGCACTCGCGGCAGCAGACAGGCGAGGCAGGGGCAGCAGCAGTGGGGGGCCGAGGGGAGGGCGCGGTGGGGTCGTATGGGAGCTTGCAGGCGCCGCTGCTGCACTCCCTCGCCCCCCTGGCGGCCGTGCTACCCGCACACACTGCTGCAGCTGCAGGGGGGGAACGCCGGGTGGGTGCAGGCGGGGCGGGAAGGAGAGGGGCAGCAGGGGTTGGCGGGGGTCATGGAGGAGGGAAGAGAGGTGAGGAGGACGAGGGGGTGGGGGAGTGTGAGAAGGGGTGGAGTGTGGAGGGAGTGTGGTGGCGCGGGGTGCGAATGGTAGAGGCGTTTGAAGCTTCGCAGGCTGCTGGGCCTCTGGGGCTCACTGCTGACATCAGCCTCTCCCTGCACGTGGGACTCGTGGCAGTCTCCTATTGGCCAGGCATGTGCAGCAGTGTGCTGCGGTGGTGGCAGGACGTGCGGGCATGCGGTGGTGGAGGAGGAGCGGGGGATGTGGGAGGGGCTGTGAGAGGGGAGGGGCGCGTGGGCCAAGAGGAGCCCAGCGCCCGACCCGCTGCCTGCCCACCGCCGCTCGCCCCCTCTCCGTCGTCCCCGGGCCGTGACCGGTGGTTGCAGTGGGTGGTGCGGGTGAGCAGCAGCGAGGTGGGTGTGGATGGCGTGTCTGTGCAAGTGGGTGGTGGGTGTGTGCGGGGCAGCTGTAGCTTGGAGCAGACAGCAGTGCAGGGGCAGACGCAGGAGCAGCAGCAGCAGCATGCGGAGGGGGAAGCAGGGCAGACGGGCAAGGCCAATACAGCAGAGCGGGGCAGCACAGGGTGGAGTGGGCAAGCGAGTGAGGGTGAGGGTGAGGGTGAGGTCGAGGGTGTGAGTGTGAGCACGGGGCGAGTGGCGGTGTGGAAGAGGCCAGCGCGATGGGTGGGGGAGGATGGCAGGGCGTGCGAGGGCAGCAGGGCGCGGGTGGCGCTGGTGGTGCAGGCACACATGCACTCGCTCGAACATGGTCAGGTACTTCCCCCCTTCCCCCCTTGCCTCCCAACCACCACCCTCACACGTCTCCCCTCCTGCCCTCTATCAGGCTTGCAAAGCTGCAGCTGGGTTGTTGTGGAATCGTGACTCCCCTGTCGTCCCCTCACCTTGCCGGGCAAGCCTTGCCCTGTCCGCCATGCCCCCCATGCCTCACCTCCCGTGCATGCGCCCTCCCCTCCGCCCATGGCAGCTGTGCTCCTCCACGCTGCTCCACCCGGCCTCTCTCCGCATCGACTGCACGTGGGCTGCTGCTGGCCCCCCCTCGTCACACGCCTCCCTGCCACCACCAGCACTGGCAGATCCACTAGGGCTGGCAGGAGTGGCAGCAGCAGCGCCCCCAACTGGATTTCCAGCACTAGCAGTGCCGCTGCCACACTGTAATGCTTCTGTAATGGGAGAGGGGGGCGAGGGCGCGGTGGAAGCAACTCTGGATGCCGTCTCTCTGCATGTCTCTCGCACCCACGCCGCTGCTCTGCTCGCCATGGCTGCTGCCGCCCTCACAGACGTGAGCTGCAGTGGGGGTGGCGCTGCTGCGGCCACGGCTTCAACAGCAGAGCCACAAGGCGCAAGTGCAGCAGGGTCAAGTGCAAGGGAGCAGGCAGGCGCTGCCATGCCAGCCATGCCAGCCATGCCAGCCATGCCAGCCATGCCAGCAAGCAAGCTGCAGGGCCTGGCGAAGCACGCACGTGTACTGGAGGCTGCTGCTGACGTCATGTCTACATGGAGCCACGTGGCATCATTATCATCATCAGCAGCAGAGCCCCCCAACGACTCCCCCTGGTGCTGCCAGCACGTGCAGCAGCAGGTGGGGTCGTTGTGCCATGTGCGGGCGTGCAGTGTTGTGCTAGCAGTGGGGTGGCACAGCGGCCGCTCACAGCCCGCCAGCCCCACACAGCAAGAGACGTGGCTGCAGCAGGCGGTGCTGCGAGGGCAGGCGCATGGAGGGCAGGCGCATGGAGGGCAGGCGCATGGAGGGCAGGCGCATGGAGGGCAGGCGCATGGAGGGCAGGCGCATGGAGGGCAGGCGCATGGAGGGCAGGCGCATGGAGGGCAGGCGCATGGAGGGCAGGCGCATGGAGGGCAGGCGCATGGAGGGCAGGCGCATGGAGGGCAGGCGCATGGAGGGCAGGCGCATGGAGGGCAGGCGCATGGAGGGCAGGCGCATGGAGGGCAGGCGCATGGAGGGCAGGCGCATGGAGGGCAGGCGCATGGAGGGCAGGCGCATGGAGGGCAGGCGCATGGAGGGCAGGCGCATGGAGGGCAGGCGCATGGAGGGCAGGCGCATGGAGGGCAGGCGCATGGAGGGCAGGCGCATGGAGGGCAGGCGCATGGAGGGCAGGCGCATGGAGGGCAGGCGCATGGAGGGCAGGCGCATGGAGGGCAGGCGCATGGAGGGCAGGCGCATGGAGGGCAGGCGCATGGAGGGCAGGCGCATGGAGGGCAGGCGCATGGAGGGCAGGCGCATGGAGGGCAGGCGCATGGAGGGCAGGCGCATGGAGGGCAGGCGCATGGAGGGCAGGCGCATGGAGGGCAGGCGCATGGAGGGCACACGTGGCTGAAGGTGTCCGTTGAGTCTCTATCGGTGGAGGCACTGCATGCACTCAGGTGTGGGTGGAGGCACTGCATGCACTCAGGTGTGGGTGGAGGCACTGCATGCACTCAGGTGTGGGTGTGTGCCGCCTGCCATCACACGAGATCTCTATCTCGTCTCCTCTGTGTCCGCTGTGTGTTTGTTGCCTCACTCCGATTTCACCACCTACAGTGTACCTAGTGCTTCTCATCCTATTTGCGTGTCTCTCATCTCCCACTCATCCCTCACATTCCCACCCACTCCGCTCCGCCGCCCTCCGCCCAGCCTCTCCCTACAGCCGTCCCCCCCCGCCTCAGCAGCCCTATCCGCGTCCCTGCACTCATCCACGGGTCCACGCCCACCCATGCGCCCTGCCACGTTGCCACCCGCCACTCACGCTGCTGCGGCGCAGCACGGCCACTCAGGCACCAGCGCTGCTGCAAGTGGTGCTGACGTCACGCTGCACTTGGGTGACGTCATGCTGGTGGTGTGGGCGGATCCGCTTGTGCACTTGCACGGGCTCATGGCTGCTGGCAGTGCGGTGAGAGCGCAGGAGGGCGAGGTGGAGAGCGGGGCAGGCAGGTGGGATGGAGAGGGGCGAGGAGAAGCAGGGGCGCACGGGGAGAGGGGAGCAGGCAGAAGAGGCGGAGGGGGACATGGAGGAGGAGGAGGGGGAGAGGTTGCAGGCGGCGGAGTGGGGCCAGCAGCGCGGGTCACAGTAGGTATGGGCGTGGTGCAGGCAGCGGTGCAGCGCGGCAGTGTGAGCGTGGTAGCGGGCCCTTTCAGGGCTCAGAGGGGTCACAGTAGTGGCAGCACGCACAGTGGAGGGGGTTGCAGTGGGGGCCAAGGGGGAGGCGTTGGGGCGAGGGGGAAGGGTATGGGAGGGCATGGCGTGTGGGTGGCAGTGGGGCGGGCGGGCGTGAGAGGGGTGTCTGTGTGCGTGAATGAGGGGCGCGGTGGGAGCGCTGCAGGGGGAATGGTGGCGCGCAGGGGTGAGGGCGGAGGGGAAGAGTCCCCTTTGCTGTGTGTGCAGCGGGTGTGGGTGGACCTGGGCACGGCGTGCCTGCCCTGCTCGCCTGCCCCCACGCCCCTCACCACGATGGAGGAGAGCGACGGCGCTGCAGGGAGCACACAGGCGGACACGTGGCTGCGTGCGATTGGCTCAGAGGGCCTGGGTGCGCTGGTGCAGGTGGAGGGAGTGACGGTAACGGGGGGAAACGCAGGGCCATGCGAGCAGGCAGTGCAGCAGCAGCAGCAGCGGTGGCAGCCTGAGAAGGGGCGGTGGCAGTGCAGTGAGCACACTGGAGGGCCATGCGATGAGAGTCCCCGCGATCTTGACCTGCTGGTGGGTGCTGCATGCGCCCCTCGTTTCCCCCTCCCGATATTCCCCCCCTCGTATCTCCCTTTCCACAGCTCTCATTTGGAAATATTTCTTGCTTCGACTCATACCCAGGTGCCTCTCTCCCGTCTTGCAGCCTTCCTCTCTGACCGCCAATTCTTCCCCAATTCCACTTTACTCACTCTCCTCGCTTTCGCCCTGCTTTCCTGCGTTCCTTACCACCCGCCTGTGTGCACTGCAGGTGGAGCGGGTGGGCGTCACTCTCTCACGCCATCAGGTCGACACCCTCCTGCTGCTGCGCCGCCACCTCACCACCTCCCTGCTGCGCCCACCTGCCACCACTGGTACCACCACCCAGCAAGGCAGCCGGGGAAGCCAGGGCGGCACGGAGAGAGGCAACAGCAGCAGCAGAAGGTACGGCGGTGCAGTGGCACGTGTCAGCATGCGAGTGGTAGAGTGCACAGCAGCCGTGCCCCTGTGGGCGGCAGCCAGCCCCCCGGCAGTCAGCAGCGCCTTCCACGGCGCCCACTCGGCCCACCGTGCCTCCTCGCACATCCGCGCCATTGTTTCTGACTGCTGCCTCTCTGCCTCCGTAGCCCCACTCCTGCCGCCCACACGCAACAAGCCCCCTGCTGCTTCCTCCTCAGGTGCAGCAGCAGCCGTCCCCATGGCGCATGGCAGGGTGGGGCGAGTGGCAGTGGAGGCGGTGAGGGAGGGCAGGCGCCATGCAGGAGCACCCAGAACGATGGGGCTTGCGCTTGCAGGGGCGGCTGAGCAGCGCTTCACTCTGCTCACCCTGCCGCACACTGCACCGCCTTCCTCCCCCGCCCCTCACCGCCCCTCACCACCTGAATATCCTGCTGCACCTGCAACCCCGCCAGGCGTGCCCCCCCAGCAGCCTCCTCCGCCTCGCAGTCCTGCACGTCCTGCTGCTGCTGCAGCCGCCCCTGCAGGCATGACGTGGAGAGTGGTGGAGGGGGAGAAGCTGTGTGGTGGTGGCACGGGGGGCACGGAGGGCACAGGGGGCAGGGTGCAAGGAGGCTCCGACTCGGGGGCAAGAGAGGAGAGGGGGCGGTGGTGGGTGGAGATGGAGGCGCAGCCCTTGATGGTGGCTGCTGACGCTCAATTCGCCCACGAGGTCACTGCCCGCCCGCCCGCCTGCTCTGCTCTGCACACTGCTCTCTCTTCTCTCTCGTTCCACTCGCCGTGTCTCCAGCTGTACAGTACAGCTGCTGCCCTGCCTCGTTTGAAAGGCATCACTCACCTCTGCTCATGCGGAAACTGCACACTGTCCTTCCACCACCTGTTTTTCTGCACCAGTCACCATTGTTCGCCCTTCATTCCGCTCCCTGTTCTGCGCTCCCTGTTCTCCCATCTCCCACCGCCCGCAGGTCATGGCCACGCTGTACGACGTGCTCCCTCGCCTGCGCGCCCCACTGCCATTGCTCTCTCCTGCATGTCAAACAGGGTGGGGCGCTGCCTGCTCCTCCGCCACCCACGGCACCCAGCATCCAGCAGGGATGCCCTCGGAGCACGGCGCACACACGCCACTCCACCCCCACGCACAGCAGCAAGCAGCGGCTGGACGGGGGGAGGGCAGTGCCGCACCACCCAGCGGGTCAGTACCCGTGCCCCGGCTGTGGGGCGTGAAGGTGGCGAGTGGAGGCGCTCTCATCTCACTGCTCTCTGCCTTTGAAGCCTTTCAAGGGTGTGAAGGGTCACCCACCCCTGACAGTGACACTCCCCACACCCACAAGCCATGCCCATCGTCCCCACCACCTGCCTGTGTGTCGTCCCCCTCAGCGCTGTCCCGCCTGCCGCGCCTCTCCATCTCCTCCCACTTCGTCGCTCACGAAGACCCCCAACCCCACCCACCGTGGCAGGGGGACGCGCAGCAGCATGGCGAGCAGCCAGGAGAGCAGAAGGAGAGGGAGGGTGTGGCGGGGGGGGCAGGAGTGTCGGTGGAGTTGGAGAGCTGCACGCTCACCCTCTGCCTCTCGCCCTCGCTGCGAGACATCCGCCGATTCGCAGGCACCCACGACGCCTCCTGCCCGGGCCGCATCATGCTCCCCCACACATCACCCACCACGCACTCCTCACACCCCCCTTCGCACCGACCCCCACCGCCCTTCCTCGTCCCCACAATCGAGCTCCGGTCGGCCCACACGGCCGTGCGTCTGCTCAGCACGGACCTCCTCTCCAGCCCCACGCTGCTCTCACACGCCCACACCACCGCACTGCACCTCACAGCCCTGGGCGCCCCCTTCCCCCTGCGCCTCACCATACACACTGACTTCGCCTCGCCCCGCCTCTGCCCCAAGGTGCTGCTGCCACTGCTGCGCCTCGCCAGGTCCCTGCGGGATGCGTGGGCGGCAGCGAGGGCCGTGCGGGTGGCGTATGAGGTGCAGCTGGGCGGCGAGGTGCAGGGTGCGCCGAGTGACGACCTGCGCAGTGGGGCTTTTGAGTGCAGCAGAGGGGAGGGGAGGGTGCAAGGGGGGGTGGCGGGGTGGGAGGAGGTGCGGGCGGGGCAGGTGGCGTGGGGCGAGGGCGTGGCCAGCAGAGACAGGCCGCTCAGCAACAGCTGCTTTGGGGGCGGCTGGATCGCATGGCGGTATGTTTATGGCATGGCATGTGCCGGGCATGGCATGTGCCGGGGATGGCATGTGCGTGGCAAGGCGGTTCATGGGGTCAGGCATGAGCAAGAACTAGGACCCTGTCACGAACTGCCTCGTCACGGCTCGCAACTTATTCTATTAATTTTCTTCCCCTAGCATCACATCGCTGTACCGTTCAATGGATCTGTTCTTGAAATACTCGCTCGCCCTCGCCCTCCTCACGTGCTTGTCTTGCCCAGCCATGCATGAGCGTATAATCCCAATACTGCCATGCATGAGCGTATAATCCCAATACTGCCATGCATGAGCGTATAATCCCAATACTGCCATGCATGAGCGTATAATCCCAATACTGCCATGCATGAGCGTATAATCCCAATACTGCCATGCATGAGTGTATAATCCCAATACTGCCATGCATGAGCGTATAATCCCAATACTGCCATGCATGAGCGTATAATCCCAATACTGCCATGCATGATCGTATAATCCCAATACTGCCATGCATGAGCGTATAATCCCAATACTGCCATGCATGAGCGTATAATCCCAATACTGCCATGCATGAGCGTATAATCCCAATACTGCCATGCATGAGCGTATAATCCCAATACTGCCATGCATGAGCGTATAATCCCAATACTGCCATGCATGAGCGTATAATCCCAATACTGCCATGCATGAGCGTATAATCCCAATACTGCCATGCATGAGCGTGTAATCCCAATACTGCCATGCATGAGCGTATAATCCCAATACTGCCATGCATGAGCGTATAATCCCAATACTGCCATGCATGAGCGTATAATCCCAATACTGCCATGCATGAGCGTATAATCCCAATACTGCCATGCATGAGCGTATAATCCCAATACTGCCATGCATGAGCGTATAATCCCAATACTGCCATGCATGAGCGTATAATCCCAATACTGCCATGCATGAGCGTATAATCCCAATACTGCCATGCATGAGCGTATAATCCCAATACTGCCATGCATGAGCGTATAATCCCAATACTGCCATGCATGAGCGTATAATCCCAATACTGCCATGCATGAGCGTATAATCCCAATACTGCCATGCATGAGTGTATAATCCCAATACTGCCATGCATGAGCGTATAATCCCAATACTGCCATGCATGAGCGTATAATCCCAATACTGCCATGCATGAGCGTATAATCCCAATACTGCCATGCATGAGCGTATAATCCCAATACTGCCATGCATGAGCGTATAATCCCAATACTGCCATGCATGAGCGTATAATCCCAATACTGCCATGCATGAGCGTATAATCCCAATACTGCCATGCATGAGCGTATAATCCCAATACTGCCATGCATGAGTGTATAATCCCAATACTGCCATGCATGAGCGTATAATCCCAATACTGCCATGCATGAGCGTATAATCCCAATACTGCCATGCATGAGCGTATAATCCCAATACTGCCATGCATGAGTGTATAATCCCAATACTGCCATGCATGAGCGTATAATCCCAATACTGCCATGCATGAGCGTATAATCCCAATACTGCCATGCATGAGCGTATAATCCCAATACTGCCATGCATGAGTGTATAATCCCAACCCAATGCTCCCCACTTCTGTTGCCCCCCCCACCCCCCCCGCTCCCCTCCCTCCAGCTACCCCTACCCGCGTGCAGTGCACCAACTGGTCATCACCGCACCTCTCCTCACTGGCCCCCTCGCTTGGCGGCTGCCCTCGGTGGCGCTGCGCCTCGCCCGCTTCCACCCCGCCCACCGGGCCTTCCACGACGCCCTGCCTCCCGTGCTCTGCCCGCCCTCCCCCTCGCCCTGCGCTCTGCATGCTGCTCACGCCACCTGCCATGCGTGCCCCGCGTGCCGCCCCATCGTGGTGGAGCCGGAGCAGGTGGAGGGGGAGGGGGAGGGCGAGGCGGACCTGTGGCTGCTCTCGTGGTTCGTGCCGCTCAACCCCGCTGACGTCATGCACCCCTCCGCACCCGCAGGTCACCACCGCGCTCACGCTGCCATGCACACTCCCGCCGGGTCCACTGCTGACACCGCCTCCTCTGCACCCACGTGTGTCCCCTCTGCCTCGCTGGCCGAGGCGCTCTCTCTGCTCTCCACCGTGTACGGCTCGCCCGCTGCTGCCACCATCACTGCCGCCGTCACCACTGCTGCCGCCTCACCCCACGCCCCTGCCACCCAGGGCATGCCGCGCGCCTTCCCCACCCTGCCTGCGGGCCCCATGCTAAACGCCCCCCTGGACACGCACGTGCTGCCCGCCTCACTGCTGCTCGCTCGCCTGCTCATCAACCCCACCTGCGCCGGCCCCCACACGCGCCCGCGCCTGCCTTCGCCGCCCCTCGTGCCGTTCCTGCGCATTGGGTTCGGCGGGCGGCTGGTGGTGGTGCGGGTGGTGGAAGATGTGGATGCGGGCGAGGGGCGGATGAGGGAGGCGGTGGTGGTGGGAGGGGAGGGCGTGCGCGTGTGCGTGCACATGTGGAGCACGCGCATGTGGGCAGTGCATGCTGCTGCCACCGTGTGCGCCGATGCCGTTGATGCCAGCGACCTCTCTCAGGTTGGTGGGGAGGGGTGCACGAGGGGCACACAGCCAGGCTGGCACATGCATGGGTGCAATTGAAATCAACTCTCAACACATCACTTTCTCACACGCCGTTTGTACCCCCCTCCCTCTCGTCGTACTCGCTGCTCGTTTCTTCACCCGTGCCGCTCCCATCCCCTTCCCCTCAGCTGCCACTGCTGGAGCCCGTCCCCCTGCGAGCATCACTGGGCGTGCTGTGGAAGCCCTTCTGGTCGCCCGCTCTGCTCTCCCGCCACCACCGCCACCCCCCCCGCTCCTCCCTCTTCTCCCCTCCCCACCCCGCCTCACCCCTTCGCCAGCCCTCCTCTCCCCCTCACGCCCACTCCTCCTACTCTTCCCACTCCTCCCCCTCCCCGCCCTCCTCGCCCCGTGCCCCGTGTGTGCCGCGCGACCCCTTGGAGCTGCACACGCCACCGTCCTCGCTGGGCATGGCGGTGGGCGTGCATGCGGGGGGGTATGCATGGGACAGCTCGCGGGGGGGTGGGCGAGGCAAGGCTGGACGCTGTGGCAGGGGCTGTGTTGCAGGCAGCAGTGGCAGCAAGGGGGGTAGCAGTGGGGGTGGGGGCGAGGGGGGCGAGGAGCATGGGGCGACGGTGCATGTGAGGGTGGCGTCCCTGAGAGCGCTGCAGCGCCTGCTGCTCGCATGGACGGGACAGGGGGGACAGGCAGGCACCGGGCAGGGCGAGGTGGGTGGAGGTGAGGAGGGGTCGGGGGAAGAAGAGAAGAGGAGAGAGGAAAGAAGTGAGGTTCAGCAGGAGGAGATGAAGGGAAATGGGAGAGTGCAAGAGAGTGAGGAGAAGGGGTTGGCTTCGGGGACGAGTGAGGTGGATGAGGGTGGTGCAGCAGAGGCGGTTGAAGGGGCGGTGGAGGAAAGCCCAAGAGGACTGCCATCACAGGCGTCGTCCTCTCCCCCCCTCCTCGCATCCTCATCCCCTCCTCTATTCGGGTACACTGTGGAGAACAGATGCCCCGTGCCTCTCCAGCTGGGCCAGCACGGCACACAAGAGGCCATCGCCCTGCCGCCCGGCTGCTCACTAGGCTACAGCTGGTGCCGCCCACCCTCGCTTGTGCCGGGCGCCGTGTGCCAGCTGCATGCGCGCGTCGGCCAATGGGAGGGAAAGGGGTGGGGAGATGGGGCACAAGGTGCAGAGAGGAGTGATGAAAAGTGTGTGGGGGGAGGGAAAGAAGGAACGGGGTGGGAGAGGGTGAGCATAGGAAGCGATAGATGGAGTGCGCAGCATGCATGTGGAGCAGCTGAAAAGGATGACATGGCACGTGGTGATTGGTCGGCGCCATTTGAGGTCGCCTGGCCCTCTCTCTCCCACGCCCTCCTCTCCCCCTCCCTCTCCTCTACGCCAACTGCATTCTCCCCTGGTTCCTCTGCTGCCACCTCCTCTCGTTCCACCCCCACTACTGTATCTGGCCCGGGTGCCAACCCTAGGAGGCAGGCTCGGGGGTGGTCGGTGCGGCTTGGGGTGCCTGGAGGGTTGGAGGCATCCATGGGTAGCGGTGGGGGGATGGGGAGCGGAGGTGGGGGGGAGGGGGAGCCACGAGGATGGGCGTGGTCGTCTACCGTGCTGGTGCGGGGGGAGGGGGAGGCAGAGGGGGGGAGGTCAGGGGGTGGGGGCAGCAGTGAGCGGGTGTCCATCGTGACTCTCAGCACACACGGCCCTTCGCACCTCCACTGCCTGCTCTCCGTCTCCCACGTCCCCCTCCCATCAACCCACCCACCTTCTTCTCCCACCGCCTCGGCTCCCTCTCAGGCCGCCTGCGAGCTCCCCTCACACACCACGCACCTCTCTGTGCTGCCCGCTGCCCTGCTCTCCAACCGCACGCCCTTCCCCCTCCACTTCCTCCTTCATGACCCCCCCCCTGCCCCTCCCCCTGCCCCTCCCCCTGCCCTGCGCCCATCCTCGCTGCACCACACTCCCTTCAGCCTGCCAGCCTCGGCTGGCCTGTGTCCCCTCGGTGCCACCTGCCTGCCCCTCACGCTCTTCCCCTGGCGACCCCTCCTCTCCTCCTCGCCCTCTCTGCCTGACTCCTCTGCTTCCAGCAGCAGCAGCGGCAGCAGCAGCAGTGAGAGTGAGAGGGACAGTGAGGAGAGTGATGGTGGCGTGGGTGATGGTGGTGTTGCATCGAAGCAGCGGCAGAAGCAGAAGCAGAGGAGGACGAGGGGGAAGGCAAGAGGCGAACGGGTAAGAGGAGGTGGTGGGGAGGACGGGTGGGATAGGCGGCTGGCAGCGCTGGGAGGAGTGCGCCTGGGCATGGCGGCACGTGCATGTGCTGCTGATGCAAGGCAGCAAGGGGCAGCAGCAGCAGCAGCAGCAGCAGCAGCAGTGTGTGGCAGTGAGCAGCGCTACCAGCACAACCAGCACCACCAGCACCCACATGACGAATCTTCTCTGCCTGCTCGCCCCTCCCATTCATGCCCGCTGCTGTGGTCGCCCCCCGTGCCTCTCTCCCGCTTTGCTGTCGCGCAGCGCTTTCTCCTCCCCGACCCTTCTGGCACCTGCCACGCCACCCTCCTCACCGCCTCCCTCCTGCCCTCCGCCAGCCAATCAGAGGGCGCCACATGGCAGCCACACCTGGTGGTGCACGTGGATGCACAGCCACAGTGGCGCATTGAGAACGAAACGGGCGTGTGTGTGGACGTCAGGGGGGCGGATGATGAGGCAGATGCCTTTGTAGCGCGAGTGGGGCCGAGGCGATCCCTTGCCTTCCATGCTGCCGCCCTGCCTCTCCCCACCCCCTCTTCCACGGCTGGCTCTGCAGCTGTTGCCACTGCCAACAATGACAGTGCCGCCGATGCAAGGTGCAGCGATGGGAGTGGCAGTGGGGAAAGTGAGGGAGGGCGTGAGGGGTGTGAGTGGATGCAGGCGGGGGTGGTGGGCGGGATGGCCATTAAGAAGCGCAAGTGGCATCACCGCTCACAGCATCACGGCAAGCAGAGACATGTGCATGCACCACCAATGACACTCAATGCATTGAATCTGGACGAGGAGACGGACGATGCCCTCATGGCGCACATTCAGCGCATCTCAGCTGATGGGTGCGTGGCACAGGGGAGCAAAGGGGGCCATGCAGCAGCAGGGGGCATCTGCGTGCGGGTCGAGGGGGCGCAAGAGTGGAGCGAGCCCATCACAGTGGGGAGAGGGGAGAGGGGGGCAGGGGAGGGTGAGTCGGAGCTGTTGCTGCACGTGCCGTGTGGCGGCATCAGCGGGGCGGTGGAGGGCGGGGGGCACTGGCTGCTGCTGCACGTGTGTGTGTGGAGGGAGGGCGCCACCGCTGTGTGCCGCATCGCCCATGCCGCCTCTCGCCCTTCCAGCCCCTTCGCTCTGCCCCTGCCTGCCTGCACCATGCCCCCTGCCATGGCGCCTCTGCCCCCTGCTGCTCTGCACGTGGGTCTGCAGCGAGAAATCAGCTACGCCAAGGACATGCGGCATGACTCACCGCAGCAGCTGCAGCAGGGTGCTTTTGCTCCCAGCCACTTGCAAGCTGCACACCCCACGTCACGAACATATTCCCCATCTCGCCCATTCCACTCGCCCTCCTCCCCACCTTCCCTTGCATCCCCCAATTCCCCCGCCTCCCCGTCCACCCCTCTCACTCCCCCCACGCCCCACCCCACCACCTACCTCCTCCTGCGCTCGCACACACTCTCCCTCGCCCTGCCTTCACTCCACCTCGTCCTCTGGGACGACCTGCGCCGCCCTCCCTCCTCGCCACACCTGCCTGGGAACAAGACAAACGATGCCAGTCGGAGAGACAATGATGAGAGTGACAATAATGAGAGTGACAGTAATGCGAGTGACAGTCTGTTCCGTGATGCCTCAGCCATCTGCCTCGTGTCCCTCTCCTCCCTGCACGCATCGCTCTCCCTCCTCCCGCCTCGCTCCCTCTCGCTGCTCGGTATTGGGGCTCACAGGGGAGCAGCCAGTCACAGCATGCCACGTGGCATGCACACACATCCCTTACCACCAGCGCCACCAGCGGTGGGCATGGTGTACGTGGTGCAGTGCGGTGTGGGGTCGGTGCAGGCGCACAACCTGCTGCCTGGCGCCCTCCTCCCTCTCCTCCTCAACATCCGCCCTTCCTCTCCCACCACTGGCTCAGCTGCTGGTGGGAAGGGTGAGGCGGGAGGTACAGGGAACAAGGAGAGGGGAGGGGGTAGACAAGTGGAAGGCGAAGGAGAGGAGCACAAGGCAGCAGCAGGGCATAGAAATGAGAAGGGGGAGGAAGGGCAGGCAGCAGTGCAGGTGGAAATCGTGTTGTCACAGCAGCCGTTGCAGCATTTGACAGGAGGGTGGAGTATGGGAGATGAGAGGGTGCAGAGCAACCAGGGAGTGGAGCGGGTGTGCTATGTGACGGGTGTGGAGGCGGTGCATGTGAGCGTGGCGCACGTGGATGCATGCGCTGATGACTGCCTGCTCTCCGCCCTCTCCCACTACGCACCCATCGCCATCGCCTTCATGCAGGGCAGCAGCCAATCAGACGGTGCCGCATGGATGACACATATGCAGGGATCAGATAGTGAAAGGCGATCAGGATTGCAAGCCAGCACACAAGGTTCCACAGCCACGCACCCTGTCCTGCCCTCCGCGCTGCCCTCATCAGACACAGCTCTCATCCGCCTGCTCGCCCTGCACCGCCTCCTCTCCACCCCGACCCCCCGCCTCCCTGACATCGTCCTTGCCACCACTCCCTCTCTCTACCTCGGCCGCTTCCGCATTTCCCCTCTCACTCTCTCCCTCACTCTCCGCATCTCCTCCCCTCTCCCTCTCGACACCACCGCCACACCACTCTCGCTCTCACCGCTCCACCTCCCACCTCTCCTGTCCCCACGCGCTGCCCTCGCGCGTGTGGTGCTGGCGCACTACATAACGGAGGGGCTGCTGTGTGTGCCGCGCGTGATCGCCTCGCACCACCTGCTGCTCAACCCGCTCGGCCTGCTGCACAGCGTGCGAGCTGCCTGCTGCGACCTGCTGCTGCTGCCCGTGCAGGGCTCGCTGCACGCGGGGCCACACGGGCTGCTGGTGGGCGTGGGGCGCGGCGGGCTGGCAGCGTGGCGCCACGTGTCGCAGTGGACCGTGGCGTCGCTCTCTGGCTTCTCCTCCAGTGTCGGCCGGCTTGTCAGGCGGGCTTATCTTGGAGAAAGGGGAGGTGGAAGCAGAGGCTTGGTAGGGAAGGGGGGGCATAGAAGCGGCACTGGTGGTGCACATGGGAACAGAAGAGGTGCGGTTGGTGGTCGTGGTAACCAGCGTGTGACAGTTGGCGGTGGTGGTGCTGCTGCTATGGGCAGCAGTGGCGGAGGAAGAGGGGGTGGGGGGTTGCATGGCGGTATAGGGCTGTCTGGGAGGCACCACCACGTGCGACTGACACTCTCACTCGCGCACAGGCCTTGCCTTCCCCACCACTACTGCCACTCCCATCGCCACTCGCTGCATGAGCGGGAGCACCAGCCAGAGAGCACTTATGAAGGCACAGGCAGGTGGGGCCACAGCAAGAGTGATGGCGGGGAGGAGAGGCGGCAGAACGGGCAGGCTGCAGCGCAGCATGCGACGGGGACGGGGTCCATGGGGCCTCGTTCTGTTGGCAGTGCAACAGGGGCACATGGCGCAGAGGTGGAGGCGGCAGCAGCTCCACTTGCTACTGAGGGCAGGTGGGCCCATGGTGGCGTGCCTGCCACCTGCACTGGGGGCAGCAGGGATGGCAGTGCTTCTCACAGGGAGGGTGGAGGCAGAGAGGGTGAGGGGCGGCAGCTGTCGCTGGTGTGGCAGGTGCAGCAGAGGGGCGTGCGCTGTGCTGCCAGCCGCTTCATGCCTCCTCTGTGCCCACTGCGCCCCCAAGCATTGTGAGTTCCCCTTCCAGCTGCCCCCAAGAATTGTGAGTTCCCCTTCCATCTGCCCCCAAGAATTGTGAGTTCCCCTTCCATCTGCCCCCAAGCATTGTGAGTTCCCCTTCCAGCTGCCCCAAAGCATTGTGAGTTCCCCTTCCAGCTGCCCCCAAGCATTGTGAGTTCCCCTTCCAGCTGCCCCCAAGCATTGTGAGTTCCCCTTCCAGCTGCCCCCAAGCATTGTGAGTTCCCCTTCCAGCTGCCCCCAAGCATTGTGAGTTCCCCTTCCAGCTGCCCCCAAGCATTGTGAGTTCCCCTTCCAGCTGCCCCCAAGCATTGTGAGTTCCCCTTCCAGCTGCCCCCAAGCATTGTGAGTTCCCCTTCCATCTGCCCCCAAGCATTGTGAGTTCCCCTTCCATCTGCCCCCAAGCATTGTGAGTTCCCCTTCCAGCTGCCCCCAAGCGTTGTGAGTTCCCCTTCCATCTGCCCCCAAGCATTGTGAGTTCCCCTTCCAGCTGCCCCCAAGCATTGTGAGTTCCCCTTCCAGCTGCCCCCAAGCATTGTGAGCTCCCCTTCCATCTGCCCCCAAGAATTGTGAGTTCCCCTTCCAGCTGCCCCTAAGCATTGTGAGTTCCCCTTCCAGCTGCCCCCAAGCATTGTGAGTTCCCCTTCCAGCTGCCCCCAAGCATTGTGAGTTCCCCTTCCAGCTGCCCCCAAGCATTGTGAGTTCCCCTTCCAGCTGCCCCCAAGCATTGTGAGTTCCCCTTCCATCTGCCCCCAAGCATTGTGAGTTCCCCTTCCATCTGCCCCCAAGAATTGTGAGTTCCCCTTCCAGCTGCCCCTAAGCATTGTGAGTTCCCCTTCCAGCTGCCCCCAAGCATTGTGAGTTCCCCTTCCAGCTGCCCCCAAGCATTGTGAGTTCCCCTTCCAGCTGCCCCCAAGCATTGTGAGTTCCCCTTCCAGCTGCCCCCAAGCATTGTGAGTTCCCCTTCCAGCTGCCCCCAAGAATTGTGAGTTCCCCTTCCATCTGCCCCCAAGAATTGTGAATTCCCCATCCATCTGCCCCCAAGCATTGTGAGTTCCCCTTCCAGCTGCCCCCAAGCATTGTGAGTTCCCCTTCCAGCTGCCCCCAAGCATTGTGAGTTCCCCTTCCAGCTGCCCCCAAGCATTGTGAGTTCCCCTTCCAGCTGCCCCCAAGCATTGTGAGTTCCCCTTCCAGCTGCCCCCAAGCATTGTGAGTTCCCCTTCCAGCTGCCCCCAAGCATTGTGAGTTCCCCTTCCATCTGCCCCCATGCATTGTGAGTTCCCCTTCCATCTGCCCCCAAGCATTGTGAGTTCCCCTTCCAGCTGCCCCCAAGCATTGTGAGTTCCCCTTCCAGCTGCCCCCAAGCATTGTGAGTTCCCCTTCCATCTGCCCCCAAGCATTGTGAGTTCCCCTTCCATCTGCCCCCAAGCATTGTGAGCTCCCCTTCCATCTGCCCCCAAGCATTGTGAGTTCCCCTTCCAGCTGCCTCCAGGCATTGTGAGCTCCCCTTCCAGCTGCCCACAAGCATTGTGAGTTCCCCTTCCAGCTGCCCCCAAGCATTGTGAGTTCCCCTTCCAGCTGCCCCCAAGCATTGTGAGTTCCCCTTCCATCTGCCCCCAAGCATTGTGAGTTCCCCTTCCAGCTGTCCCCAAGCATTGTGAGTTCCCCTTCCATCTGCCCCCAAGCATTGTGAGTTCCCCTTCCATCTGCCCCCAAGCATTGTGAGCTCCCCTTCCATCTGCCCCCAAGCATTGTGAGTTCCCCTTCCAGCTGCCCCCAAGCATTGTGAGTTCCCCTTCCAGCTGCCCCCAAGCATTGTGAGTTCCCCTTCCATCTGCCCCCAAGAATTGTGAGTTCCCCTTCCAGCTGCCCCCAAGAATTGTGAGTTCCCCTTCCAGCTGCCCCCAAGCATTGTGAGTTCCCCTTCCAGCTGCCCCCAAGCATTGTGAGTTCCCCTTCCAGCTGCCCCCAAGCATTGTGAGTTCCCCTTCCAGCTGCCCCCAAGCATTGTGAGTTCCCCTTCCAGCTGCCCCCAAGCATTGTGAGTTCCCCTTCCAGCTGCCCCCAAGCATTGTGAGTTCCCCTTCCAGCTGCCCCCAAGCGTTGTGAGTTCCCCTTCCATCTGCCCCCAAGAATTGTGAGTTCCCCTTCCAGCTGCCCCCAAGCATTGTGAGTTCCCCTTCCAGCTGCCCCCAAGGATTGTGAGTTCCCCTTCCAGCTGCCCCCAAGCATTGTGAGTTCCCCTTCCATCTGCCCCCAAGCATTGTGAGTTCCCCTTCCAGCTGCCCCCAAGCATTGTGAGTTCCCCTTCCAGCTGCCCCCAAGCATTGTGAGTTCCCCTTCCAGCTGCCCCCAAGCATTGTGAGTTCCCCTTCCAGCTGCCCCCAGGCATTGTGAGCTCCCCTTCCAGCTGCCCACAAGCATTGTGAGTTCCCCTTCCAGCTGCCCCCAAGAATTGTGAGTTCCCCTTCCAGCTGCCCCCAAGCATTGTGAGTTCCCCTTCCAGCTGCCCCCAAGCATTGTGAGTTCCCCTTCCATCTGCCCCCAAGCATTGTGAGTTCCCCTTCCAGCTGCCCCCAAGCATTGTGAGCTCCCCTTCCAGCAGCCCCCAAGCATTGTGAGTTCCCCTTCCAGCTGCCCCCAAGCATTGTGAGCTCCCCTTCCAGCTGCCCCCAAGCATTGTGAGTTCCCCTTCCAGCTGCCCCCAAGCATTGTGAGTTCCCCTTCCATCTGCCCCCAAGCATTGTGAGTTCCCCTTCCAGCTGCCCCCAAGCATTGTGAGCTCCCCTTCCAGCTGCCCCCAAGCATTGTGAGCTCCCCTTCCAGCAGCCCCCAAGCATTGTGAGTTCCCCTTCCAGCTGCCCCCAAGCATTGTGAGCTCCCCTTCCAGCTGCCCCCAAGCATTGTGAGTTCCCCTTCCAGCTGCCCCCAAGAATTGTGAGTTCCCCTTCCAGCTGGCCCCAAGAATTGTGAGTTCCCCTTCCAGCTGCCCCCAAGCATTGTGAGTTCCCCTTCCAGCTGCCCCCAAGCATTGTGAGTTCCCCTTCCAGCTGCCCCCAAGCATTGTGAGTTCCCCTTCCAGCTGCCCCCAAGCATTGTGAGTTCCCCTTCCAGCTGCCCCCAAGCATTGTGAGTTCCCCTTCCAGCTGCCCCCAAGCATTGTGAGTTCCCCTTCCAGCTGCCCCCAAGCGTTGTGAGTTCCCCTTCCATCTGACCCCAAGAATTGTGAGTTCCCCTTCCAGCTGCCCCCAAGCATTGTGAGTTCCCCTTCCAGCTGCCCCCAAGCATTGTGAGTTCCCCTTCCAGCTGCCCCCAAGCATTGTGAGTTCCCCTTCCATCTGCCCCCAAGCATTGTGAGTTCCCCTTCCATCTGCCCCCAAGCATTGTGAGTTCCCCTTCCAGCTGCCCCCAAGCATTGTGAGTTCCCCTTCCAGCTGCCCCCAAGCATTGTGAGTTCCCCTTCCAGCTGCCCCCAAGCATTGTGAGTTCCCCTTCCATCTGCCCCCAAGAATTGTGAGTTCCCCTTCCAGCTGCCCCTAAGCATTGTGAGTTCCCCTTCCAGCTGCCCCCAAGCATTGTGAGTTCCCCTTCCAGCTGCCCCCAAGCATTGTGAGTTCCCCTTCCAGCTGCCCCCAAGCATTGTGAGTTCCCCTTCCAGCTGCCCCCAACCATTGTGAGTTCCCCTTCCAGCTGCCCCCAAGCATTGTGAGTTCCCCTTCCAGCTGCCCCCAAGCATTGTGAGTTCCCCTTCCAGCTGCCCCCAAGCGTTGTGAGTTCCCCTTCCATCTGCCCCCAAGAATTGTGAGTTCCCCTTCCAGCTGCCCCCAAGCATTGTGAGTTCCCCTTCCAGCTGCCCCCAAGCATTGTGAGTTCCCCTTCCAGCTGCCCCCAGGCATTGTGAGCTCCCCTTCCAGCTGCCCACAAGCATTGTGAGTTCCCCTTCCAGCTGCCCCCAAGAATTGTGAGTTCCCCTTCCAGCTGCCCCCAAGCATTGTGAGTTCCCCTTCCAGCTGCCCCCAAGCATTGTGAGTTCCCCTTCCATCTGCCCCCAAGCATTGTGAGTTCCCCTTCCAGCTGCCCCCAAGCATTGTGAGCTCCCCTTCCAGCTGCCCCCAAGCATTGTGAGTTCCCCTTCCAGCTGCCCCCAAGCATTGTGAGTTCCCCTTCCAGCTGCCCCCAAGCATTGTGAGTTCCCCTTCCAGCTGCCCCCAAGCATTGTGAGTTCCCCTTCCATCTGCCCCCAAGCATTGTGAGTTCCCCTTCCAGCTGCCCCCAAGCATTATGAGTTCCCCTTCCATCTGCCCCCAAGCATTGTGAGTTCCCCTTCCAGCTGCCCCCAAGCATTGTGAGTTCCCCTTCCATCTGCCCCCAAGCATTGTGAGTTCCCCTTCCAGCTGCCCCCAAGCATTGTGAGTTCCCCTTCCAGCTGCCCCCAAGCATTGTGAGTTCCCCTTCCAGCTGCCCCCAGGCATTGTGAGCTCCCCTTCCAGCTGCCCACAAGTATTGTGAGTTCCCCTTCCAGCTGCCCCCAAGAATTGTGAGTTCCCCTTCCAGCTGCCCCCAAGCATTGTGAGTTCCCCTTCCAGCTGCCCCCAAGCATTGTGAGTTCCCCTTCCATCGGCCCCCAAGCATTGTGAGTTCCCCTTCCAGCTGCCCCCAAGCATTGTGAGCTCCCCTTCCAGCATTCCCCAAGCATTGTGAGTTCCCCTTCCAGCTGCCCCCAAGCATTGTGAGTTCCCCTTCCAGCTGCCCCCAAGCATTGTGAGTTCCCCTTCCAGCTGCCCCAAGCATTGTGAGTTCCCCTTCCATCTGCCCCCAAGCATTGTGAGTTCCCCTTCCAGCTGCCCCCAAGCATTGTGAGTTCCCCTTCCATCTGCCCCCAAGCATTGTGAGTTCCCCTTCCAGCTGCCCCCAAGCATTGTGAGTTCCCCTTCCAGCTGCCCCCAAGCATTGTGAGTTCCCCTTCCAGCTGCCCCCAGGCATTGTGAGCTCCCCTT